ATAAATAATTAAGATTTTATGTAAGTATAATGTGTAAAACTTGTATATAAGTAACTCATTCCTTATATATATATATACAGTGGTGGAGCGAGGGGGGCGTTAGCCCCCCTAAAATTTGAAAATCCTTACAAATTACTATATGAAAAATTCTTTTGCCCTCCTGAAATTTAAAAATTTTGTACATTAGTATATAAAAAATTATCTCGTCCCCCTGAAAAAAAATTCTGGCTCCGCCCCTGTATATATATAGATATATATATATAAAGGGAGAGTAGGAATCCACTTATATTTAGCTCTTATACATTACATTTACATAAAATCTCAACTATTTATCTTTCAACTTTCAGGAGTTGAGATTTATTTATATTTATTAAAGATAATTATTTTTTATCTAAAAAGTTATGATAAATTTCAACTATTGAGAGTAAAGAGATGAATGATTGAAATTTTGTGTAAGTGTAATGTGTAAGATTTATACATAAGTGGATCCCTTTCCACACACACACATATATATATATATATATATATAGGGTTGTGCAATGAAAGATATTCCTCTCCCATCCTTCAAGTTTTAACCCACTTTACATGCATATCATGTAACTCAAATTTATGACCTCTTGTTTTTCCTAGAAGGAGATTATCCTTAAGTTACTTAAATTGTTAACAATACCATTTGTTACTTAGTTAAACTATGAAAAGGGTTTTTCTAAAATATATTTTAGTTTAAGTATTAATTACACATTTTCTCATTAATTGTTATGGAAAATGAAATTAACTTTTGTATTTTCTTATATAAATTAAGAGTTTTTACATCATGTGCTCTAAGTAGCAATTATTAGCTAATAATTGTGATACTCTTTTTTTGAAAAATGTAAAATTTTAAATTAAAAAACAAGTTTTGATTTTACATTCAAAATAAACCAATACAAAACCTAATATATCCCTAACATTTGCTTTAAAAACTAAGTTTAGAAAAATATAGGACAAGTAAGATAAAATTATAAGGCCATTGTATAAAATAATATCCATTTACTTCAAATAAAATGAAATAAGTTAGCAATAATAAATAAAACGAACACTCATTAACAGAAAATTAGTGAAAATAGGGAACTTCTTGGATATAATATTACACTTACAAGTTATCTTATTTAATGATTTAAGAAAGAATTAGTTACTCCATTAAACCAAGCATTACTTTAACAAATTTTGTTTTTAATTATCCAATTTAGTGTGTAAATTGAGTATGTGGGTTTTAACACAAGTTTTGCATCCACCATAAAACCAATTAATAATAAATGAAGTAGCATTCCTTATATTTAATTTACATACTTTTTTGTTATATACTCAATGTGGGATTTTTTTCACTAAACACTATGAGAATTGAGTATGTAGGTTTTAAAATAAAGTGTATTTAATTTAAAACCAATTGACAATAGGCATAATAGCTCTTTTTGTATTTAACCCACATACTTTTTTATTATCTACTCGATATTGGACTTTCCCATCCAACATGTGCCTTCATGTGTGGGCTCGCTATGAATGTTGAGTTATGTTACATGATTTAATATGTTCCCTTACATGGTTACATGGGGCCTTGGTATTGACTTTGAGTTCTATTGGGTAGGTTAACAATTGGTTCTCCATGATGAAACTTGGGTTTTAAAACCATATGAAAATGATAAGTATATGGGTTTCAATAAAAAGCTTGCATCAAATCTAAAACTAGTAACCTCCTTTATATTTAACTCACACACTTTTTATTATACACACTCGATGTGAGATTTCCTCACTTAACATTTAATGCATAATTATACTATATAATCATTTTTATGTTTTATGCTGTATAATTTTTGAACTATAGTAATGTTACAGATGAAATATGAGCATGAAGATGAAAGGAAAAAAGTGCCTTGTTAACGGCTTTAGTAGCCAGATGATTCTTAATTCAAGGATTAAATTTGGGATACTCATAAATTAGAGTTTGGGATTCTATAAGTCATGACTCATGAGTTCAACATCCTTTGAAATTGTTTCACATTTAAAAAAACAAAAGGTGTATTATCATACCTAAAAGAAGATGCCCACGCTTCGACTTAATGCTAAAACTATTGGTTAGTGGGAACTCACTCCTCATGCGTTGCGTTTTTAATTTGAATCCCATAAAATCCTCTTTTTCTAAGAAAAAAACCTAAAAGAAAAATCTCCCATATAAAATATGTCCCAGAATGCTTGACAGATGCTATCCGTTTATGATTGCCTCTAAAAAAATAATAAAAATCTCTTTACATTCCATTCCTTTGTCGTATGTTTTATCAGAGTGCAACTTTACTCACAATATTATATTATATTGTAAGTATATTATTT